TCCCTACCTTGTCCTGCCACTGCCATGCCACATCACTGCCACTGTCTTTGGAGACAGCAGCTGGTTTCCCTTCTGGCAGCCTAGCCTGCAGTCTGTGCCGATGGGCCTGCCTCTCAGCTGAGAGGCAGGCACATATGCAGAGCTGACTGGCTGGCTGCTTCACACACACACCCCAAAAGCCGGGCTGTAGGGTTTTTCCCCCTCTTCCTTTTAAGACAGCTTCCACTGGGGAAGGGAGGAAAAAATAAAGCCACATCTCATCTTGCCCACTTTCCCCCTCATTTTAAGACAAGCCCCAGTGGGAGGTATCTTAAAAGGAAAGGAAAAATAAAATTATTATTATTATTATTATTATTATTATTATTATTATTATTATTATTATTATTATTATTATTGGAAAAGCAGCTGGCTGACTGTCTCTGTGCATGCACCCACTTTAAGCTGATAGGCAGGGCCATGACCAGAGAAGGCAGGCCAGGCTCCCAGAAGGGAAGCTAAGTGGCTGTCTGCAAAGATGGTGGCAGAGGAGGAGGAGGAAGCAACAGGACAAGGTGGGCAAGTATCAGGGCAGGAGGTAGGCTGTGGGGGTTGGGGGGCACGGGCTGTCTAAAAATTGTGCTTACGAAACAATGAATCAATTTATGGTTTGTCAGGAAAAACTTTAGAAATTCATGGTTTGTTGACTTTGACAACCCATGAACCACCATATATATATTTGAATAATTATGAAACTGGAAGAATTCACTTTCTCTTCTGTTTTTACTGATTATTCAAATTTATATTTATCTTTCACCTTAATGAAGCTTTTGAAAAATCATAATGGTGAGTTAGAAAATTTTATATCCTGAATGCATTTTCTTACATTAATTTTATTTTTTTTCACCTTTTAGTTGGAGAGAATTTACTTTAAACTCATCAGTTATATCTTCATTAGCTGAAACAGAATCATTGTGAAATTAGAACACTCACTAAATAAGTTACATAATGGAGAATGTTTACTTCTTCCTGACTTGAGGAATTAAAATAATAAGCTTAAAAGCAAGCTTTGCTATCTTTCTTCTAGGCCACTAGTAAAATCACAGTTTAGGGAACAGGTACAGCCTTGGTTTTTTTTGCCTCTTTGCCAAGAATTTCTGTGGTAGTTCTCATTGAACCATTACTGCAGATTCTGAGGAATTGATATAGGCAATAGAATATCTGATCTTGTCCACAGAAGACATAAAAATAGGAAATTATAGGGTATCTTTTAGCACACACAAGATGCCATGTTTAATCCCCAGCTTCTCAAATTAAAAGGAATTTGGGCTGGTAGATGTATTCCTAACCCTGATGAGGCCTTAGAGAGTTATACTAGTAAGAAGAAAGGGACCTGGGCTGAATAGTCAGCTGTATACAGAAAGCTGACATGGTGTATTTGGGTGGAAAATGAGAGTGTGAAGTCCATAGCTCTAATTCATACTGGGATTATGTGCAATGTAGGATTATATATACAGATTAAGACCCAAATGTGAATACTTCTAGTTCTTATATGAAAAGATTGAGGACTATGCACACATTGACACAAAATCTAGCACTCAGGTACACATTTGTATCCATCCTACCATCTTTAGAGTTGTCACTGGAGATGGACTAGAAATGACAGAACAGTTACAAACCTAAAAGAATATGGGCATGAATGACAGATGGTTTTAGAATTTAAAAGCAACCCTGATGCATTCAATCCATGGAGGAAACCCTGCTGTAATTGCATCTGTTCATATTTAGACACCGTTGCTTTTCTGTGTGATGGGTGATGAAGAATTACAGCCTGTAGACCTATTTTGAAGGATCAGATACTAGAGAAGTTCACACCAAAATAAATAATTTATAATCCATTGCTTTGCTGAGGTGCACAAATGTATATTAGTATACATAAATATAAATAATGGAGCTGTGTTCCTGGTCAGTCAAAAGGAAAACCAAAGGATAAGAATTCAGCCTGTATTGGATGGGATTATACTCCTCTTGAAAAGTCAGGTGTGCAGCATGGGTGTTCTCCAGGATTCATTCCTCATCCTGGAGGCATAGATTTCAGTACTGGCCTGGAATACATTTGCTGAGTCAAAGGTGTTGTGCCAGATACACCCATTCCCTGTAATCTCTGATCTAGTTACAATGACACATGACTTAGTTACATTCTGCTGGGTTTTCCCACGTTAAATAATAAAATAAAGAAGTTGGAAGTGGCATATAAGACCATCATGTCCAACCCTCTGCTCAGTGCAGGAGTCCAAATTAAAGTATATCTGACAGGTGGTTACCTCATTTTCTCTTGAATTCTTCTAGCATTTGAGTGTTCATCACTCCCAAGGTAGTCAGTTAGACTGTTGTACTGCTCTAACAGTCAGGAAATTTTTCCTGATATTAGACTGAAATCTGGCTTTCTGTAAATTTAGCCCGTTGTTGCATGTCCTGCACTGTGGGATGATAGAGAACAGATCCTGCTCTTCCTCTGTATAAACTGCCTTTCAGTTATTTGAAAAATCCTGTCATATCTCTCCTCAGTCTTCTTTTCTCAATACATACCCAGTTCTTTCAGTCTTTCCTCATACAGCTTGGTTTCCAGTCATCCTTGTTGCCATCCTCTGAATTTGTTCCACTTTGTTGGCATCCCTTCTTCAAGTGTGGTGTCCAGAACTGAACTTTAGATGAGGCCTAACTAGTGCTAAATAGAGGGGGACTAGTACCTCATTAGAATTGAAGATTATGTTTCTGTTAATGCAGCCTAAAATAGCATGGTCTTTTTTTGGAACCAAATCACACAGTGGCTCATATTTTGCTTTTGATCTACAACAATTCCAAGCTCGTTCTCACTCGTAGTATTATAGAGTCGTATCCCCCATCTTGTAACTGTGAATTTGCCCCCCCCCTTAAATTGCAGAATTTTAAATGTATGCCTGTTGAATTTCATTCTGTTGTTTTCAGCCCATTCCTCAAGATCTTTTAAAATTTTGTTTCTGTTTTCCAGGATATTAGCTATTCCACCCAACTCTGTGTCACTTGCAGATTTGATAAGTATTCCGTACACACCCCTCTTCCAACTTATTAATAAAAATATTGAAGAACACCAGGCCAGGGCTGAGCCTTGTCTTATCCTACTTGTTATCTCCTCCCTGTTTGACGAAGAGCCATTGATAAGTACTCTCTGAGTACAATGCTGCAACTGTTTTATCCACCACACAGTTGTTCTATGTAGCCCACATCTAGTTAGCTTGCTAATTAAAGTATTATGGGACACTTTCTAAAAACTATTGCTTGAGTCAAGATATAGTATGTCTACAGCTTTCCCATCATCTACCAGGGAGGTTATTCAATAAAAAAGTATGATAGGATTAGAGATAACTTATTTGCTTGAAGTGAGGTTCTCTAGTTCTGGAAATCAATAAAGATCTTTTTTAGTAAATGGGCATCTATGAAAATGTGCCTACAGAAAGATACTTATGTACCAACATCAGATAATATCTGTTAAAAATGCCTTAATTCATATATATGTTCAGAAAATCAAGTAAGGAACTGGTAGTCCTGTGGCTTGCGTATCTCCAGCAGTGCTTCACATACAGTGTAAATCTCTGTAGAGATCATACAAAATGTGCCAGAGCATGCTTCTTATAACTAGAATTAGTTGTACACCTTTGTGCATGGCGACCAAGAAGAGAAGTATGAAAAACGAGCAAGTCAGTGGAAGGAGCCTTGTCACTTCTTCATCAGGTGGCTGGTTGTTGAAGTGGCAAGAAACAGGCTTGATAGGCAATGTTAAGTACTTTGCTTGCTTGCTCCTTTTGGTATGTGACACAATGGCTAACAGTCGCTGTAGTACAGAGAGCACTTGGGCCAAAGAGTCTAGTGAAAACAACTGTGCTTCCTTCTCTTTCCCTCTTCTGAGCTGTACAAACTTAACACATGCAATTTCTCTTGAGCTGAGATCACACATTCAAGCTTCATTACCGCAGCAACTTTTCAATTAAAGCAGTTTCTGTATTAAAAACACAGAGAAATGTGCAGTGGTATTATGCAAATTGCTTGTTTTTAAACAGTAAATAGAAAATTAAACTGAAAGTGAATCATGGGGAGGTCATATAACCTCACCTTCTTTATTTGATGAGAATTTGTTTAGTCAGGCAATGCTGCTTTTATCTAAACAGAGGATGAAGCTAGCCTTTTACTTTGTAAAAACTAATTAAAACTATCTTAACTTGCATGGATATACAGTAAATTAATTGTCATTAAGTAGGAATCTGAATGTCCTACCCATTCATCATACTGAAAAAACCCTTTCTTCTTTGTCAGAATTTTATATGAGAAAAGACAAAACAAAACAATTAGTGGGAAGCTAAAATTAAGATGCCAAAAACAACAACAGCAGTGTCCATGCTTTCATATCATACCGAACTGATGTAGTCAGTATTTATGTTGTCTTTAAAAGTCAGGTGCCTTCTGCCTCACTCGATAAAGAAAAATAACATTTGATAGCTTTTATGATTACTTGTTTTCTGATTACTGTAAGTCAATTTCTTGGACACACTCAGTTCAAGTAACCCTTTAGTTACAGAAAATATTCTTAATATTGTAAGCTCGGTATAGCAAAGCCTTGCAAGGTTTTGATTATACTAATTAATAATATGGTGGAGGCAAAGAAGAAGATGTAGATCTAGATAAAATATGTTGTAGTCTATATATAGATATCCAGTGTGATGTAGTAGATAGAGAGATGGACTAGGATTTAGGACGCCTGGGTCTGAATCACTTCTCAGTCATGGAAGCTTATTGGGTGTGTGCAACTGGTAAAGCTACTCCTTAAATATCTCATTTATCTTGAAAGCCCTATTAGTGTTGCTATAAGTGCTATAAGGTGGTTCCAACTTGTCAGCATATAACTAAAACAAGTCTATATGAAAGCATTACTGCTCCTGGGCAGCTTCGCCAGTGTAGAAAAGAACCCTAAGTGTCCTATCACAATTGAAAGTGTATTTGGAGAAAATCTCTGAACTTCCATAAAAAAGAAGCCCTATAGATGCTACAGGCCCTTGAAACAGCAGTGAAATGTGGGGTGAAGCCAGAAGAAGACATAGAACAGAAAATCTGACTTTTTAAAAAACACTTGCTAAACTACAATCCTTCTTCATGGCTATGTATATACACATGTATTCCTAATACTGGCAATATGGGTTGTGAAAAAGAAGAGAGTCTAAATGGAAAAAGAATACAGCAGTGGGCAACTGTACCCCTCCTAATGTTTTTGGCCTTCAACTCCCACAGTTCTTCATCATTGGCTTTGCTGGATAGAAGTGCCAGCTGGTTTCCTCGCCAACTAGCTGGCAAAGGACAGTACAGTTTATTCATTCATGCAATTGCAGTTTGTCTTAGAAGACAGCATTTCTATACATATCCCCAACATTTGAAGGAAATATCACAGGTTTATATGTTAAAAGGGACTTGCATCATAATATTGATGAATCTCCAGACTCTAAAAAAAAGTGTGCAACTGTGCATCACGGTTCCAGGTTTGTTCAGGCACCATTGATGAGATGAAGAATGAAAAAGGACATTCCTCCCAGATAAATACATATCAGATTTCAGCTACAGTGGCACTTGTGAAAATGTCTTCCATTTTCCAAGTAGTATGTAATAATGGTTTATTAGATGGCAGATATCCATCTGATCCAAAATCAGGAGCTAACATCTTCCTTGCTTTTGTTCTCTAATCAAAAAGAAACAATTGAATCATACTGTCTGATTTTGTCACTTTTGCCTGGGTCATTCTTGCATCTTTAATTCAATACCCTTTTCTTGTAAGCTTTGATAACTGTTTTATCTCTAAGACAAGCTTAAAGACATTACCATTCTCAAGTATCAAAGCATTGCCTTAAATGAAGTAGCAAACAGCCACACAGTTAAGCGGCAGGACCATAAAAAGAGATAGAAAAGGTTAAATTGTAAGGTACCAGAGAAATTTAAAAATATATTAATATTCATTGCAAATGCTGATTGGTCAATGTGACATTAAAACAACATGAGGATGTGCTTGTTACACACATGTAGAAGGGAGAAAGGAACCACAGGCCAGATACCAAAGGTAACTGACATGCTTGCTGGCATCCTTGTGTCTGGGGTTATGACCACAAAGGGTTCCAACCATATCAATATGTAACTAGAGATGAGATCATAATGATGGAATCAATAAAGTAAGGATTCGCATACCAAATTTAAACTTCAAGCAACTGTGTAATGGACAGATCAGGAGCCTTGGTATTTTATAGGCAACATTTACGTTCCCCCACCCCACGAATCTGGTCCAGGTATTGTTAGGAACAGCATGCTGAATGGGATGGATAATACTTTTCATCCAATAGGTCTGTATTTATTTTCAGAGTGCAAGAACAGTAGTACTGAAGGATGACAAAAGTACGTGTTGAAGACTATGGCAGGGATCTTTAAAGATTTGGTTTAAAGGGGTTGCAGGCATGATTGTTGGAATAAATACATCACATAGGACAAATTAGCTGTGAATTTTAGTGGGAAAGTTAATCATATGCCTAAATCTTTTCAGTGACCTCAACTTTTCAAAGTGCTTGGTCTTAGCCAGATTGTGTTCTCCATACCTTGTTTCATCTTTGAAAGCAATTTTCTGAGTTTTTGTTTTTGTTTTTGTTTTTGCTCTGAAAACTTCTAACCTTCCATTTCAAGCTATACTATTTTCTATTTAAAAGTATAAGAACCCAGAAGCATCTGTAATAATCTCTTGCAGCCACTTACTCTAGTTCAGTGAATAAAGGATGAAAGAGCTGTTCATATAATAATTAAAAGAAAGCATGAAAAGCATAGCTTTGAAACACATTTTGAACTCTTGAGAACAATGAGGAAATATAAATACCATAAACAATTCAAAAGGGTAGTATATTATTCATACTTATATTGAATATATCATTGTACAAAACAAAATGTTGAACCAAAATAAAATAGAGGTCTTGGATTCCATTTTACATTTTATAGTCCTTGTTGGGTGTTTTTATTAATGTGGTAGGCTATGAGTTTGCCAGTAGCTTGGATTTGAACTACTCTGTCTCCTAGCTTCTAGTGAATTAATGATGTGCATGTCTAAGCAGCCATCAGATTCATAAATCACCAGAAATGAGAGGGATAACACATAAAAGTCTTTTCCTTTTGTTTAGCAATTTATCATTTTGCCTGCACATTAATAAACAGAGTTCCCCAGAGGTAAGCAATGGAAAGATACATTTTTCTTCCTAATTTTCCTCAATCGTAGCTAGTAGATCATAAGTGGAAAGAGTGGGCTTGTCAGAAAGCACATCATACTGTTCTGGTGACTTTTCATATCCATTGCCAGTAGTAATAAATAAAGATGGTCAGGTGCTTGGGTAGATAATTGTTTTTGTTTACATAACAGGCGCCAGGTTTCCGAGTCCTAGGCTGCCAACAAGACCAAGCCGAAAGCGAACACTATCCCTATCACCTCTATCTGATCATAGCTTTGACCTTCAGACCATGATCCGGACATCTCCCAACTCCTTGGTCACAATTCTCAACAATTCCCGTAGCAGTTCTTCAGCAAGTGGCTCCTACGGCCATTTATCTGCAAGTGCAATAAGGTAAGAGCCGGCAAAATGCAAAGATCTTTAATAAATATTACAAGACTGAAAACCAAATATTTTTATTACCCGCTACTTACAAACAAAGGACTACATTTGTGTTTAGAAAACTACATTATGATTTGATCATAAAAAATGTTACAGTGCTTCAATGCTTCTTTTTATCAATTTTTTAATATAGCACAACCTTTTAGCCTCAGATAAGACATCCAGGGCAATTAAAGGTGCTTGAATTAAATTCCTTTTCTGCAATTTTAGAAAAGTGTGCTAGTTTACGTAGCAGTATTCAAAATATGTTTGCTAACAGGAAAATAACCCAAGTACCCTGAATTTCATACTCAACCCCTAACTAATCCAGTATTCTGTTTTCCACAGCAATCAACAAGATACCAATAAAACACTCACAAACATGCCATAACAGCAACAGACTATTTTATTCAATCCCAGTACCTAGCATATGGAGGTGTGGCTTCTCAGCATGTAGCCATTACTGTTAGTATCCACCTTCAGTGTTTTAGTTGAAGTCCACTTTGAATATGTTATTACTTTCAACAAGTAAAAATAAAAAATGTTTTGTCCTGGACATGCAAGCACACAAATTACACCGATGATAGTTTGAAGTTGTATTCTTGGTTATTGGCTTATTAAACAGCCAATGAAATCTTTCTTAGTGCAACAAGAATGTATTGGTCATTTCAAATATGACATGGGTGGTTACATGACACAGATGGACAAGAATAGGTGGCCCAACATTTCTTCTCTGAGTCTTGGAAGAAAATTACATTCTTTCCAGATCTCTGGAACATTTATACAATTAAATTGTTTCTGGGATATTTTTTAAAGGTAAGGTGACATATTAACATTTATATGAAGCACAAGTTGCTATAAAAGTAGACAGCTCATCTGAATCTAGGAGGGAGAAAAGGACTAATGGGTTGTATTCAACTCATTGTGTTATATCCCTGTAATTTCAGTTATGGACCTGGAAGAAAGCAGAGTTTATGCTATGGCTAAAGGACCTACTGTGAAGCCTCTCTTTATGCCGGGCCTCCTTTTCTGGGCCGGGGGGGAGGGAGAATCTAAAAGTCTGCATAACTTCATTATTTTAAAAAGCCCAAAACATGGCAAATGTTGGTAGCACTGTGTTCTGTGAATCCTTGGAGATTTTTCTCAAAGTTTGAAAGCAGAATTGTTTTTCTCTTTCTCTGATATTTGACTCCCCTCTGTTCTTCATTTATACAAGCTACCTGGGCAGAAACATGAAATTAACAAGGTCTTGTTAATTATACAGATTTTTTTATATAATATCTGGTTACTTTCACCTTGTTGCTTGGCTGAGATTAAACAAAGTTGGAAAGAGATTAAGCAGCTGGGGGCCAAGAGGTTGAGGCAAGTTTAAGCAGCAGGAGAAGAGTTAGCACAGCCAAAATTGGGGGTGGGGGCGGGGGAATGGATGTGAGCAAAGTAAATTCAGCTTGTGTGTTTACCTTGGTCAGCTTCCTCCCCTAGCCAGCTGTTTTGCAAGAGAATTAGCTACAACTGCATTTTGATACTGAAACTAGTTAATGTATTAGTTTATAAATCTTGGATATTTCCTTTTGGAATACTATCAGGCAGAAAGGCAGTTCCCAACATCAAGCAAAGGCCCAAAGGAAGAAAGTTGTGTCATGATGATCACATTTAAGTAGAATGTGTTTGTGTTTCCTAACTATAATTCAAGAAACCTCTGGCTTATGAATGTGGCAAAGCCAGTGTGAATGTTGACAACACCAATTGCAGCAGTCAGAATAGTCTAGGAACTCTCGTATGTTCACTGTCTTTCAAAAAACAACACCAAGCAAGAGAAAATTCCAGAACTAGATTCCTTTTTTTAAATCAGGTAAACACTTCTCATACAAATAGAAAGTAGTTGTCATGACCTTTTCCAACATGTTAGTCTGGTGCTTATTGCGTGGGACTGTTTCTTTCCCTTTCCCTGCCTCATGCACCCTCCCTTCTTGGTTTTTTTCCCCTGTAGAGCTCACTCTCTCTCTCTCTCTCTTGTTCTTTTGATGACTCCTCTGTCTGTCTGGCTATCTCTGTTTGGGGGTCCTGTCCCTTCCCCCTCCCCCAGGTTTTTGGCTCTTCTTTCTCTCTCTCTCCTTACTGCAGGTTCCTGCGCTTTCTCTTTGTGGGTCTCTCTCTTATTGTCTATTCCCTTATTGTCAAGTTCCCCTCTCTTTCAATCCCTTCCGTCCTTGAGGTCCTCTTTCCTGCTCTTTCTTTCTTAAAATCTAGATGGGTGCATTTGAGTGCACTGTCTTCATTTTCATCCAAGTCCTAGATTCCAGAGGGAATTCTGCAAAGTCATCCAAAAGCTTACCTTTAAGACTTCTAAAACCTGTCAGTTCCCTTAGCTAGTCAAGTATGTCAGAAATATTCCTGAGTCATGGGGACAAATAAGCTATATTTATTTCTGATATATTTTGCTTTCAACAAAATATTCAGACCTCAAAAATGCAAAATTTGACACAAAAATCTGCATCGGTCCTAGTCCAACATATTTATCAATCACAAAAGATAAAAATAAAGAATTAGGAAAAACAAATAGAAGTAATTTTTAAAATCCTAAAGAGCATGAAAAAAAGAACCAGATATTTTCTAGCATCAGATCCTCTTCTTTTTTAAAAAAAAAACTTTAAATAATATCATAATAACAATTCATTGTTTTTCTTCATTTGAAGGCAACTTTGTAAAGTAAAATATTTAGTGGTTGAAATCCTGGTGTTTAATGTAAGTCACACTAGAGGAAGCCTACTGAACCAGTGGGGATTTGGTGAATCAGCTCCTCATTAAATTCCATTGGTTCAAATGGGCCTACTATAACGACCACCTGCTTTAGCATAGTAAGTTTTAGTTAGAGGAGGCCAGTTTGAATTAAGGGGACTTGCAGAGTATTTGACTCACCAAATTCCTATTGACTCAATGGGCCTGCGCTTTACTATGCAAAGTGACAGAATTTTGGCCATAGCTGCATAAACTGTACAAATAGGGGCATATGCTGCTGCTACACATTTGTTTCCAAATGATAATGGCTAAAATCCTGTTGCTTAGTGTCACATTAAGTCACACTAGAGTAGGCTCATTGAATCACTGGGGATTTGTTGACTCAACTTGTATATGTTACATTGATTTAAATAGGCTTACTCTAGTGTGATGTACAATGCTAAACAACAGGATTTTAGCCACTGAAATGGAAAAAAAGACAGAAACTGCTGTTCTGAAAAACATTTCCTAATGCAAATCTGGATTTTTTTTGGTACAAAAAGGGGGAAACATCAGTTATAGGATGATCCAAAAAATCACCAGAAACAAAATACTGTAGTTCCTCTAGCACTAGCACCCTAAAAACTCAAGTACTGTGTCTTATCGAGTGGTCCTCGATTGACCAGATAGGCGGGATACAAATTAAATAAATAAATAAATAAATAAATTATTATGATTCTTCATTTAAATTGTTAGGCACGAGGGAGATTCAGTAATTTAAACAATAGTTTATGTTAGAAGCCTGTTACCACTGTTCTTATGTTCAGTGCCCTACTTTTCTAACTTTCTCCATCAGTAGCTCTCTGCAGTCCCTTCTTTCCTCTCCTGTTCTTATTCCTCTGCCATTTCTTCCTCCCCCATCTCCCTCTCCCTCCACCCCCATCTAATAGGCTGCTGAGGAAGTGATGGATCACTCTTGCCAGAGACAGTTGCTGCACAGGACCTTTGAGATTATAATTAGGGCTGTAGTTTACACATTGTGAGCACACATACCCCGTGGCCCCTCCATTATGATGCAGAGAGTGTTTGCAGAAACAGGCTCTTTTATCAGAACAACGCAACAGTAACTGAGCTAACAACAAAACCTAAGTATTTCTGTGGGTGCCAGGAACTTAACTGCACTGCCAAATAGTACAGGTTAACGGGACCAGTTCACAACAGAGGGAGGACTGGAGCCCCACCTCCTCTACTGATTCCAACATGCCCCTTGGATGGGCCAAACACAAGGTGTCATAACAGGGGTGCTGGATGCACGCACTTAACTATCTCTGGAGTAATGTAGCCTGGGCCCCTTCCCTAGCTACTACTCTATTATTACGGCTAGTGGCAGCTGCTTTGGAACATTCCAAGTTATGATTCCCCCATGCTGTGCCATGTGATTCTGCTTATGATCCAGGTTCAGTCCAGATGACTAGATTGAGGAATACCCATAGTGATGCCATCTCAAAGTTGTTCTAGAAGTGGATACTTATTCCAGAGATGGGAGAGACTCACAAATCTGACAATAAATAAAAAGCAGCAGTCAAATATCTCAGTAGACAAAAATGCCATCTTTGTAGACTAGATTAAGCAAGCAGCAATGTGAAGCTGAAAGCAAATACCTGAATCAATTAAACTGAGCAATCAAAACAAAATATGAAAGACCCAAATAAATACATTACACTATCACTTTAATGAGTTTTTAGAGGTTATAATTTGGAAATGGCAGAAACTCAGCTATCCTTAAAGCTCCAGCATTGTATGCTGATCAGCACCTTATCTATAGTACTTCTGCCTGTTTTCCTATCATTTAAAATGTAAAATAAATGGAAAACATTTAAAGAAACTGTAAAAGAAGGACAACTTCTTTTACATCATTGTTATTCAAAAAAATACAATTGCAATGCAAGGAAAGATGTAAATGAAATTTAACAAAACAGAAATATCTGATGAGAACTGAAAAATTCTAAGGCGTCTGAAGGGTTTTTTTTTAATGTAGTGTGTGACATATGTTCTAGCAAGCAAGATCAGATGACAAAAGATTACATAATTTTAGTAAATGGTTTAACTCCTCTGTCCCCGAAAGCTTCCCTAAAAAACCTTCAGAACATGGCCAAAGAGCCCGAAAAACCCACAACAGCCTTCGCAAATACATAGTTCCCTAAAAACGCTTTTTCGGCAGCTTTCTAAAGGCATGAAGGGAGGGATCCTAATGT